GATTAAGTTCCAGAAGAATTTCGAAAACTTTGCGAAAGTTGCATGTACCCGAAATTGGTCTATGATTGACAAGGTCATTTTTATCACTCTTCTCAAATCTAGGACATACCCTCGATAGCTTTCAAAATGTCGAAAAGTGTTCAGATTCAAGACATATAATGATCAGAATTGATAAAGGTCGGGCCAGTGCTGAGGCGCAGTGTCATAGACCTCCTTCTCACTGAATTCAGTTATAATTATAAGAGACAAACCGTCTTCACTGCCAAAATCGGGTGTGGAATCATGCTGCGTTGACAGATTTTAAGATTTACTGAACATGTCGGCAAACCCATTCAGAATTTCTGGAGGCTCTTGCAGCAATTTGTCGTCATACACCATTCTGCTGCTAATTTCTGATGAAGACTCACGAGAATTGATGAACTGCCAGGATTTGTTTGAATTGGAAGATATTTCAGCTTTGGACCTTTCCACATAGTTTTCGTATGACTCATTGATGTCGATTTTAATTTTTGCTCTCAATAGCCAAAACTCGTCAGAAGATTGAATATCATTTTCTTTTTCATAGTGGCGCCATAAATTGAATTTCCTGCGTAAGTCTGGTTTGGTATTATGAAACCAGCATCAAACCATGGCGGATATTAATTCTTATTCCAAAAGTTATACTTTGGAACATAACGATCAAAGCTATTATATTTTTATCAGAATTCCGACTTTAAGTGACAGTGATTTAGGGCATTCCCAACCATTCGCAATAACATATCGTTTCGAACTGTGAATACGACAAAAAACTGAATTTCTTCTTGTGGCTCTATGAAAAAAAAGGAATACAATAGCAGAACGTAGAAAAAAGAAAAGATAGCAGCTGTGACAACAAATTGCCATCAATTATTCAACACACATTCTGAGCTTTTGAGAAGTTGGAAAGAATTCAATTGCGAAATCACGTTTCAATCATGTGCTACCTTTGAACGTATGAAAAAATAACATTTGATCATCACGCTCGATCCCTTTTCTCACCAGCTTTCCAACGAGGGGTCACAAGCCATAGGGTTCCATCTGAAAAAATCATGTTGAGGGTGGTTTCAGCTACTCCTGAAGGGATAAATTCATGATATGGCTCGCAGAAAGTAGATAAAAACATTGAATCGTTGACGTATGTCGAGACATTCCAGAAAAAATTATCACATTCGCGCTAAGGAATTTATTCCAGTCGAAGTCTCCATGATGTATATTATTCAATCGTTAATAAATCAAATCATTCCTCATGGGTTCAAACTCTTCGACGAAAAATCATGGTGACTCCAGAAAAACTAAGTGATTTTGAGAATTCCTGGAAATATCATATTCCGATACAGAGTGGTATCAGGAATTTGAGAATGTTCTTGAATGCAGAGTGTCCCAATTAGGAATCCGAATCCACAGCACGGTGAATCTTGCAATGACCAAGTAGTGTCAACCATGCGAAAATTTGCTACTCCACATACCATATACCATATTGAATCTCATCTTGATACACCAAATATTCCAGAAGTTAAGACTTGCTTGATGCTGATGGATCTCTACACCGAGCATATGTTTACTAATCGGAGTAGAGAAAAAACATTATTTGATAATTCGATCGATTGAATAAATGTACTGAGGATTTGTATTGGAGTTCCAAGCAGCTTTTGATTTTCATTATATGCCACAATCATTTATCACATATTTCTTGTGTGAAATCATAGCTCAGATAACCACTGCATTTGTGGAATGAATACGATATAGTTTTGATCCGAAAAATTATTCAGAACTCACAGTTCAGAAATTATCGATGGTTATGATGACTTTCCGCGTTTCTCCACCAATATTTTTCATTTCTCCCTGACAAAACTCAGTCTCTCAAGGAATGAGCTGATGAATCCATGAATAATTAAATACATCAGTGTAACATGAAAATTTGCCTTTTCATGCTCCATGGTGTGAATTCTGAAAATAGGTAATAGGGAAGCTTTGTAGAGATGCACTGCGTAACTCAATGATTTCTTTTCTAGGTTTTGAGGTACTTTACATTATCCCATCTTGTTAAATGTTTTCATTTTCAATGTCCATGACTGGATGACTGTTGGGTTATTTTAGTCCACTTCTTAACAATTCTTACACATTTCTCAGATGCCTATGAATATTGTTGTTTCCATCATGGTCTCTTGCCAGTAGAAGACTGTTTGTCGCGTTTAGTGGCAGTGGCCTGTAATGCTGTATCGACTGGTGGAACGACGAATGTATCGACTATCGTATCGACTATCGAAGTCATGATCGATATTGAATATTTCTTTCAAGTTGCATTCCTGAATCTGACATGAATCATATTATTTGGGTGGCTAGATTGACATTGCGCAGAGACGAAATTTGGTGTGTATTATTTTTTTTGAATAGATCACAAGTGCTCTGATTGACGGAAACTTGTTATTATTTGAGCAATTTCCGTTTATTCATCCTTCTTGCTGATTCCTTCTCTTGCGAAAAGGTTTCATGTGCTGAAGCCAAAATGAAGCCCTTTTTGATTTTGACTCTCGTGCGATCAAGTCAGGTGGTAGACACCTACTTTTGTGTTAGGCCTTTCCGATAGGAAGGTAAGAAATATTAAATCTCATTATGTGTGAATGATATTCGATGGGGTATCTACATTTCAGATATCACGGCCTTATACAGGGGAGTACGGGGTACAGATGTGGAAGATATAAACTCCATTTTCTTTTGACCACATGCTATGTTTCTGGACTTGAATTGATTTTGAGCAATCAACACTGTTAACTGGATGGATCACTAAATATCGAATCTCATCAACTATGGGCATTTAGAAATCTTGAACTGTTTTCTGGACTTCACTGTTTGGACATCACATGGACATTTTTTTCGATGGTTGAGGCACCTGAGGGATCTTCGTGCTTTGAAGCCTGAGTCACCAACGCACTTGAAGGTGGAGGCGGAACCCTGGTGATTTCTTGTGTATGTCTCTGGGCATCTAGGACCCGACAGCCTGGAATTTCTGGCAGAATTCTTGCTGCCAACAGTGCAAGTCCCTAGCAGCCCTTTTCTGGTTCAGATAGCCAGTGATCCTGACTTCTGACAGGAAGTCCAGGGGAGTCCAGACTCCCGGTATGTTTGATGATCCTTCATCCCTAGGATTTTGTTACTTTGGAGCCTGAACTCCCAGAGCCCAGTCAGATAGTGAGACGTCCTGGTCCAGCTTGGATGGTAGGAAGAGCTTGCCCTGGTGGCAGCCTGTGGACCCGTCAGCCAGAGTTGCAGTGCAGAATCCAGTTGCCCTGGGATACACCAAGTGCCCAGGTCTCCAGGTGGTTGTGACTCCTGTCAACTGTGTGGGGATCCAGTTTTCCAAGCACACCTAACCCCTAACGCCGACTGAGGGAGGAGTGTCTTTGTTTCATCCAGAAAGTGAGATCTAGTGGACCACAGTTGGAATCTCATGGTTCAAAATCCAGAACTTGCAGCTAAGGTCAGAATTTTCCATACTTATATACTTTTCTCCCTGTCTTGAGGACATTCAACATGTACTTTTTTTCCCTGTCTTGAAGACATTTAACATACATTTTTTCACTGTCTGAGGACATTTAACATGTACTTTTTTCCCTGTCTTGAAGACATTTAACATATCATATTTTTTTCACTGTCTGAGGACATTTAATATATACTTTTTTTCCCTGTTTGGGAACATTTAAATAGTTATTTTTCACTGTCTAATGTCATGAGATATTTAAACACTTGTAGTTAACATATAACAGTCTAAGATCAGATTTTACATTTAATAGAATTATTGGGTCTGTTAGAGACTCTGTGAACCCAAAGTATAGGCCTATATGAAGGAAAATCTACCCTTGTACTGAGTTTCAATCATCGTACATATTTACCACCATTTTGAATACCTATTGTTGGCATGTTAAGGTGAATAAATCTGTTAACAGTTATTGTGGCTTATATTTACATCTTGGATTTCTTTCTCAGTAATTCAGCTGTGAAAACTGAGTGGCGCCTGACAAAAGGATAACCCCACTAATAAACAATAAAAAGAACTAACTCACGACCTGCTCCCAAACAAGCGAGCTGCCGTGCCTATAACAAATAAAAATCTTTTTCTTTTCCAAAACATCAAAAGAGTTGTTATATCAGAATATATTTGATAAAAATATATTACAATATTATAGGTCGATATTTTTCATAAGATACATTATTGAAATTGACGGAAATGACGTTTAATACCATCTGCTATCTTTTCGGCAATCATGTATGTGGCCGCCATGATATTTCCAGAAATAATTTCTGGCATGACACCAGCATCAACCACACTGAGATTTTCCATTCCATGAACCATCAGTTCATTAGAAACCACTGAATTGTGTCTAGAATGGCCCATTCTTGTTGTTCCAACTGGATGATAACCAGTCAATGTCAGATGTCTGATAGCACAATACCAGTAGTCTCTGGAGAACTGTGGGTATTGGTCACATCCAGCTACTACAGAGATAAGTGAAGCATTGATTGACCTGAATGCTCTGGTGTCAAGTAACTTCAATGTGTGTTTTATTCCATTATATAATGTTTCTATATCGGATCCTTGTCGATCAGATAAATAATTGGGATTTATGATCGGAAAATCACGGGGGTTATTTGATCTCAGAGTGACTGATCCTCTGGATTTTGGATGAAGCAGGGCTGTCATCATGATGAGATCGGTGTATGGATTATAATCTCTTATATAAGCAGCTATCGTTTCATCATTCAGGTTCCGGATTATATCAATGGGTAACTTGAAACCTGGGGATCCCATTACTATATGTTGAATATCTGGAACAGTGCTCTTACTATCGTTCACATTCAAGAAACCTATAGAGTCGACATTGAAACTGGTTGTGAATGGTCGTTGAAAATTCAAATATCCCAACATCATGTCATCGAATGATTCATTGAATAAGCTCTGGTTGGTTTTGAAAACCAGCCCAATGAACAAAGGATGATCCTGGAGGAAACTTCCAACAGGAAGATCTTCAATCAGACTTATATTATGTCTCGACAGTTCTGATTTTGGTCCTATGCCTGATAACATCAACAACTGCGGGCTATTGTAAGTTCCAGCAGAAAGAACTACTTCCCTTGAGGCTCTCACTTCATATATCTCACCGTTTTTGATGAATCGTACACCATGCGCCCTTTTTGTGCCATTGGTAATCATTACTTTGGTCACAAAGGCATTGAGGGTAACATTTAGATTTGGTCTACTAATAATTGGATCGATGAATGCTCTTCCTCCTGTTGACACTTTATTTCCTTTGATCGTCAATACAACCTGTGATGATCCAATCTGATATTCTCCATTGATATCCACCCATGCATATCCCAACTCTTCCATCGCATTTATATAAGTGTCCGTTATAATAGTGGGTTCTGTATAACCAACATCCAATGGACCGGTTGTCCCATGATAAAGAGGATCAGCATTGAATATGTGATAATTCTCATATTTGATGAAATATTGTAGAATATCATCATAGGACCAGCCAGCGTTGCCCATTGTCTCTCATAAGTTGAAATCCTCTTTGTTTCCTCTTACAAACATCTTCGCATTTATAACACTGGTTCCTCCAAGCACCTTGCCTCTAGGAGCAGAACAAGAAGTGTTTCTCATTCCTGAAATATAATATAATTTCATTAATCTGGTTTTTCGAACAGGACGCTTGTGGAAAAAACATGGAGAGAGAATTGTACTTAGCTCCCATGTAGGTCAACTAGATGATATACAGGAATAATAATTGATATTGCATGAATATTCAACTGAATACAAGAATGGTTGGTGGAGTCGTATTCTGAACTACATTTTATTAACAACATGAGCAAATTTTGATGGCGTGGATTCTGATGACATTTAAACATCGAAAATTAGTGACATAATATTAGAGATTCATTTCGAAGTTGTAAAACGAATTGCTACCCGGTGGACATTCACCTCCACAAATATTTCAATCATATCACGATTTTCATCAGATGTCTTACATATGACATTGAAATAAGTTGATAAATTGGTATAGCAACAGTTCGTCATATTTATCACCGTAATGATACTAAATCGTGACCATCCTATGCAAGACGTTTGTCTAATAATAACTTATTGATATCGAATTTTTGATTGGAATGATCTGTAACAATATGTCAATCATTAATATATCTTTAGATTGATAATGATTCTGAAGATCAAGGATATGCGAATATCATAAATTGGTTCACGAATATTGCCCACCAACGTCTTTCCTTACATATTCCTAAATACCGATATATGACATTTTTCATATTATGATCTCCAATACATCCATATGTAGATGATAGTGTGCCATTCAAGTGACCCACTCACTCAGTCCAAGTTAACAGGGAGGAGTGCTTCGGAGAGTCGCAACCCAGGTCTTGCCCCCGGCTCTGACTTCACCTTCCGGTTGGCAAAAAGTTCAAAATTTTGTTCAAGAAGAATCTCGGTAATGAAGTGCAATGATCTCATCTCACGAAAATTGGGGCGCTTGCCGGTTTGCATACTCCTAGGTCACTCCTCAAGGGCGACATACGAACCGGAAGTGGCAATTTTTCAGTGTTATAGTCGATGATCTAGGAATGTATGCCCTTTGGCAAAACAATGAACTCGGACCCATTAATCAGTTTCCCGACATTTGCATACGATTCCGGAGAGGGGAGCTCGACTTATTCGAACATCACATGAATCCGGGTCAAAGATTAACTTCCTTCCAGGAGTGATGGGGGTATTCGAAGAAGCAAATTGCAGATATATTTGTATTTATTCATCAGAAATTTCCAGCTCAACAAAATTACATGTGTGAGACGTTAATTACCAAAATTTTTTTGTGCGATCTCTATTTGATAAACAGGGCTTTGAAAAGATGATGAAAAGAATTGACGACAAAATACTCGCAGGATGATCAAGAGGGATCGTACAGGGAGAAGAGGGGTGGATTATTGCTCATGATCGAATCTCACAATAAATCGAATAGAAATTCTTCTCAAGGACTTATGGGACTACTCATCATGATACTGGCATCTGGAAAATATATAAAGAATGTACATTCAATTTGTTGAATGTTTTGGATATAGTGTGGAGTCTGTATCCTGAACTTCATTCTACAGTTTTGTTTTCCGAATAAAAAAAATTATTTGAAAATAGAACCATATTAAATGGAAACAACATTATATTGCAAAGCAAAAATTATACGTCGTTCCCTCTATCATAATCTTCAGAGTCATCTTCGCTCTTGCTGTCTTAAGATGATTCTTCAGAGTTGATATCAGTACCTGTTAGTAAGAATATTATTTCAACTAGATATAATTATTGAAAAATGTTGGCATGATCGAGAGATATACCTGATACTTCCTCAGTTGAAGTCTCAGAGATTATGATGTCACCAACCTCTGCCTAAATCATTACGTGCTAAACTCTACCCGGCTGACGCAGCAAATCATTGTTCAGATATAAAAATTGTTTCAGCAAAAAAAAAGAAAATACTGTCAACCCGGGATTCATATTTCTGGCACAATTTGACAATTTGGCGCATGATCGCTATAAGAGTGCTGCGTGTGAATGATATCGCTAGATACTGTAGAGCTGTATTCGTCATAATAATCTCTGTTTGAGCTCTGATGTATGGAGCATTGTTTATATCAAACATCCAGTATTTCATACTTTTGCTATAAAAAATTATAATTAGTTTTGTTTCTCGAATACTGTCAATCAAATTAATTGAATTGCATTAGAAATGTTATATTTCTGAGTATCTTTTAATATTTGGAGTTCAAAAACGGATGATAATCCCAACATAACCCAGCAAACATTGAACTAGCGGAAGAAGTCCGGCCTAGTGCAGGCTAGTCTGGGAAACTGCCGATGACGGGATATTGGTAATGGGCCGATGATTTTCCTATGCCAAGTAACCATTAGTTAACAATACGATGATGGCCTTGAGATGGTGAGATGTCTGGAACTAATTGAATACTACCGAGATCTGGCCCTTTGCTGGCCAATTTCATGTTCGCTACTAGTCCCCCTTGTGGATTTTCTGGAAACGTCTACATCAACAATCAGCTGATTAATATTATAGGTATGTGACTAAGATGGCTGACTCTCGTCAGTGGTGATCGCGTACTAGTTTGTTTATGTCGAATCAATGTGATCCTCTCTTTTCCTGATGGTTATTCATGATGGCAGGAGTATTCTCAATTGATAATAATAGAAGACGGATTCTTCAATTATGATAATATTGAGTAAGTATCAATCTACCTACATAGTGTTTCAAATTTCATTATCAGATGCATGTGTTTAGTATCTCGTAACCTCATATACCTAATGATCATAATAATTGGAGTCGGCTTCACTTCTCCAAAAGCAACTATCATTTTCAACTCGTTTGTTGCTATCAAAAGCAATCTTGGGTTATGAGAACCTGTCTCTATATTGAAGAACTAAATGACAATAAGGTTGCAGCTACAGAAATACCTGTGCCGAGAAAATAATGAGAATTGAAAAGCTTCATATTATCACGTCATCAGACAATATAGGCCACTAATATATAACAAATGATGCATTTTATATTTCAGAACTACCTAAAAACTTTGAAGTAATGCTACCCAATAAGATGTAGATACCACATACCAACCAGTAAGCAGTCACTCCGAGAAATTTCATCGTTGAAGAACAGAGAGGTTAAGAAGATATCATTGTGTCATTCATAAAATTCTTGAAATCTGGTATGTGTCTAATTGAGGATGAGAGGGTTATATTGTGAAATAAAGAGGTACTAGAAATTTCAGATCCATTGGACTTCTGAAACCCCTACCCCTCCTCTACCACGATAGTATGTAACCAATGTCGTTAATTGGCCATTACAGTCCCATCATTTATGTATATGCTGGGCTTACTATGGGAATCTCAATGTGCCGATTATGTTGTACTGGCCTTTTGCTGGAGAACTGAATATGATTGCTTGGTACCCAGCACTGGGACCAGCTGCCGGCCGCAGTGTACTGATATATAGAGTCCCGCATATGGGACCATTCACTGGGCCGCTGATGTCAGGTATTAGAAAAATATATTTGGCCATTGATGCCCCATATCAAAATGTTTGCTGGGAATAGTCCTACGAGCTGGATGTATAATTGGTTGATACAAGTTGGAAAGTTATAAATTTGGTAATAGAGGTGCTCAACATTGGGTGGAGAGCAATTATTGGAGTTGATTGGTGGTAGCAGATAAGGAGTGGTTACCTTGTATAGATTGTTCGAGAAGGTGCAATTGTATTGTGGTGGAAATCAGCGAGCAATAATCAGTATAGAGATGGTAGTAGATTTGGATAGACAAAAAGCAGATAGTTTTTTGACTCTTATTCCTTTCATCCTATTAATTCATTGAATTCTGTTCTTTTTTGTGAAAGTATTGTGGCAAAACCATGTCAGAACTTCTTTCAGAAGAACTCATTCTAAAAAGGGGTACATTACAAACAAAATCAACTGATTTTTCGAACTTTCTGGATGGTGTTGGTATAAGAGATGACCAAGATGTTGATGAAATCGTATTGACAGAAGTAGAATTGTGACTAATTCGTACAAAAAAAATGTTCGATGAGGAATATGAGGGGATTCAAGGAGGAATAGAGTAATTCGTCAATGATAATGCATTGAAATCAGAAGAAATATACAGAGCTGAATTTGAAGAAGTATTTTCCAAAAATTCTACAAAGGCTTTACATCTTTTAGGTATTGAAAAGAAAACGATTGATGTACAAGAAAATTCGAGCAATGAAGATTTAAGAGAAACTCAATCTGTCAGATCTGTTGTGGCTCTTCAAGCAAGACCTCATATTATCATATCTCCGTTTTTCCCGAACTAGTGCGGGAAAACATTTCTCGCACTAGTGTGGAAAAAATTATCCCGCATTGTTGCGGAAAAGTTACATTCCTCGAACTAAATTGCGTGCGGATATAGGGTGAATCACGCACGCTTGTAGAAAAATGTATTCACCCACATTGGGCGCGCAATATGGAGAATATAACCCTCCAGGTGTAGCAGGAATCAACCACAACATGATTTCCTCAAATAGAATCCTATGGCTTGCCATCCTCTTTTGAAAACTGGTTGAAAGGAGAATCCAGCGCATTGACTATATTTCAGTTCGCAGTACGTTTGAAGGTAGCATAACAACGAAATATAATCTTGGAGTTCAATATATTTTTAACGTATTTTCATCAAAATTCTGACTTTGAGTGACAGTGACAGGCATTTTCACCCGTTTGCAAAAACAGTTCGTTTCGAACGGTGAATACGACAAAAAAAACTTAATTTCTTTTTGTGGCTCTATGAAAACAGTGGAATACAATAGCAGAATATAAGAAAAAAAAGGTAGTAGCTGTGGCAAAAAACTGCCATCAATTACTCAACACACATCTCCAGCTTTTGAAAGGTTGAAAAAATTTTAATTTCGAAATCACTTTTCAATTAAGTGCAACCTTTGAACGTATAGAAAA